TAAATAGATGATAATAACGAGGTTTTAGTAAAATAGTAATCAGTGAGATTATAATAACAAAGCTTATAGTACATTAGAAATTAAATAGATGACAATAACAAAGTTTATAGTACATTAGGGAATAAATAGATGATAACAAAGTTTACAGTACATTAGAGATTAAATAGATGATAATAACAAAGTTTATAGTACATTAGAGATTAAATAGATAATAATAACATGGTTTATAGGAATGTAGAATTTAATGAGATGATAAAAAAGGGATTATAGTAAAGTAGTATTTAATGGGATGATAATAACAAGGTTAACAGTAATGTAGTACTTAATGGGATGATAATACCAAGGTTAACAGTAACGTAGTACTTAATGGGGTGACAATAACAAGGTTAACAGTAACTTAGTACTTAAATGGGATGATACTAAGAAGGTTTGAGTAAAGTAGAATTTAATGCGAGCATAATAACAATATTTACAGTAGAGTAGTATTTAATGAGATTATTATAGCAAGGGTAACTGTAACGTAGCACGTAATGGGATGATAACAACAAAGTTGCAGTAAAGTAGTACATAATGAGATGATAAAAAAGGATTATAGTAAAGTAGTACTTAATGGGATGATAATAACAAGGTTAACAGTAATATAGTACTTAATGTGATGATAATAACAAGGTTGTCAGTAAAGTAGAATTTAATGCGATCACAATAACAATAGGTAGAGTAGTATTTAATGAGATTATCATAGCATGGGTAACTGTAACGTAGCACGTAATGAGATGATAACAACAAAGTTGCAGTAAAGAAGAACCTAATGAGATGGTAATAACAAGGTTTCATTAAATTACAACTTGTTGACATAATAACAAGGTTAACAGTGAAGTAGTACTTAATGAGATAACAATAACAAGGTTAACTGTACTTGTTTGTTAAATTTGAAACTACCCCTTTAATTTTTGTTACAATATAGAATCCCAAGATAAAAAAAACCGACCATGGCAGTGTTGGGAATCAAGATAAAACCCTGACCAAAAATACATTGTTTTATTTGAACATAAGTTAATTGATTGTATTAATGGACGAATGGATTTTGTATGATGGTAGAGATACGATGCTATTCAGCTGCCATTTTATTACATAGTTCTGGCATAAGATGAATTCAATGCAACGGAAAAAAACATAAAGAAGAACTTTTATATATTAATAGGGGCAACATCAATAAGTCGACCACACGGGAATACAAACATTAACCATATCAATGTTCAGTGGAATCCCGATCATGGTTAAATGAAATAATACTAAAGAAAATGTTTGGCTTTTTTAACAAATTATATAAGCAGAATTGAGGTGTTATATTTGGTAGGGATGTGTTGGTAAGGAATGTGACAAAATTATTATTAAATAATAAATGCACTAAAAAGTCACCACAAGAATCTAGGAATCAAGAGGGACAAACGTATGGCTCAATTGTATTTCAATAATTCGCTTGCGCGTTTGTTTTTGTTAGCAATGGGAGGACGAGGAGAAACCCCTCGAGGTTGGACAGACGATCCTACTCATTGTCACGTACGAACAGGGAATCTAAACCACGCCATTGCATTTTTGTTTTACAAATGATAATAAACAAATACCTGTCAGCGGGCAATAAGTTATATTGTGCTTTCATTGACTATTTAAAAGCCTTTGATATAATAGATAGAAAGTTTTTATTAGATAAACTCCAACTGACTGGCGTAAGCTCAAAATTAATCAGTTGTATAAAATCAATGTATGATAATGTAAATTTATGTGTTAAGTACAATGGTAAATATTCAGATTATTTTTCGTCGCTTTCGTAAAACAAGGTGATAATCTCTCACCTCTCCTATTTTTACTATATTTAAATGATTTTAATACTTATATGAATAATAATGCTGTGGATCCTGTTATCCTAGATAATCTGATATTAACCACTATTATGTATGCTGATGACACTACTCTGATACCTACGTCAGCAAAGGCATTGCAACATTTACTAGATAAATTACTTTCTTATTGTAATAAATGGAATTTAACTGTTAACACAGAAAAGACTAAAATTCTTATATTTCAACGAGGACATTTAAAATGTAGCAATTATAACTTCATGTACAATAATAATAGGGTTGAATGTGTAAAAACTTTTACATATTTAGGAATAGAGTTTCTTCTAACGGCAGATTTAATAATACACAGAAAACACTATCTGTAAAAGGTTCAAAAGCCCTTTATCAACTATCTAATATTTTTGAAAATCTACACCTCAATGTTAAACAACGATGTTTTTTATTTGATACCTATGTTGGTTCTATTTTATCCTACGCATGTCCTGTATGGGGCTTCCATAAATCGCCAGACATCGAACGATTGCATCTAAAATTTTGTAAAAGTACTCTATGTGTAAAAGGATCTACCCCAACACCAGCAGTCTATGGCGATCTTGGCAGAGTACCACTTCGAATTACACGACTTCAACTTATAATTAAATATTGGATCCATATTATTTCATCTAAAACAAGTCTATTATATCAGGTGTACAATGCTATTCTTCACGATGTATCCATGACGAATAAAAATAAAGGCTATAATTGGGCGTATAATATAAAATGTTTATTGGAATCTCTTGGATTCGCCTCAGTGTTTGATGATCAATATGTTGTTTTACCTGTATATGATGAACTTAAACTTAGAATAAACGATCAGTATTCACAGGAATGGAATGAAGAAAGGTCGAAATATTCAAAACTAAATTATTATAACCTTTTCGCTATTGCCTTATCACAAAAAGAATATTTATCAAATATCTTAAATCATAATTACTGTATATCTCTGTCCAAATTTAGATGTGTATCACATAATTTGCTAAACGAAACGGGAAGATACGACAAAATTACTAGACATGATAGAATTTGTAACTTATGCAATTTAAATGACGTTGAAGATGAATATCATTTTTTACTTTGTTGTCCATTATATAAAGATTTAAGAGAACAACTTATTCCTTTTTATTATAGAAATCATCCTTCACTCCAAAAATTTATAGATATTATGTCCTCCACATCACCAGTTATTTTAAACTCATTAGCAAAATATATACCTTTATCATTTATTAAACGCCAGTCTATTCACGAAGCTACTCTTCCCTAGAACTGTACATACTTTTCTAACTTGTTTTGTACTATTTGTATTATTATCACCTTTACATTACATATTTATTTACTTATTCATTGTATTTGCTATAAGTTATGTAACTTTCAGCAATAAAACAGTACTTACTTACTTACTTACTTGACTTAATGATAGACTTTATGATGCAACGCGAACACGCTAACCATTCAGCCACCCAACCCCCACATTATAAAGAACACAACACATTGCCTATATTATGAATTTATTAGAACTTAGCCCTTAGCTGTATTTATTCCGATAAACTGAACAAATTAGGGTGACCTCTTGTAATGTTTCTCACCAGACAGTCACCAAGGCTTAGATAATAACCAATAAGCTTACAGTTATATCTAATGTAATTATTTTCAAAAATAATGGTGATACAGTGAATGGCATTGGCTCACGGTTCAATCCCGATGTTTTCTTAGAAAGTTCTTCGGGATTTCGACTCTGTTATCACTTTGTCGGAAAAAAAGCGCACAGTCTTCCGGATGGTACGAAAAAACTGAGTTCGCCCATGTACACACTGGTTCTCACTTAAAAGATCCAGTGACTGTTGAAATTCGATGAACTTTCGCTCATAGCACACTAGTTATTGTTCTTAGTGTTTAACGTCCGCTTCCACCGAAGGTCTTATTTTTTTTTATTATTATCTTAGCGCACTCGGAGTACCCGGAGTAAACCCACGAGGTTGAGAAGCCCCTATCTCCAAGCCACATACGCTCACACCAGGGATCGAAACCACAGCCGAAAGCCAGAGGTGACCGGCCAGCTAGAGGTCGAAGTGCGACACTCTAGACCACTAGGCTATCCCAACCCCCACTAGCCCAATGCATAAGTCCCATCTTTATTAACTGGGTTGGATAAATGCATACCACCCATCAAAAGCAATGAAATGAAATGAAATGAAATGGAGTTTAACGTCCTACTGTTCTGCTCCTATACTGGGCTAATGAAGACGAGCATACGCCATACAGTCTGCTATGAGGGAAATTTTTCCCGGGCAGCGGCACTATCGCCTACTCTTATATCGAATTCTAACTGCCAGAGGATCTTTTACGTGCATTCCAATATATACACGGGATCTCGGTTTTTCGTCTCATCCGAAGGACTAGACAGCTGTCATTGTCAGGCCCTCCGTCCTGCACCCATCAAAAGCAAAATGAAACCTAAAATATAAAGCTTATTTACATGCGTACATTATGTGCACGCCAGGTAAAGTATTCGTCGCGTTTTGAAAATCTGGTTTATTGTTTCTCTGTGGGGCATCTGAACTATTAATATCAAAATCTTGAATGTTTAATTGAACTATTTCAACGTACAAAGTTTTAAAATATAACAGAAATATATTTTTGATACCAAACTGGGATTTATACGCCGTTTGCGTGACGTATTCTGTCAAGTACTTTCAGTTCAACTGTGACATGGCGTGGTGTTTAGGAGTGGAAGCGTATATCGATTAATGACGGGGATTATAACCATGAGACTATTAGAGATAAAGATATATAAGTTGGCTTTTATATGTGATTCTACCATATCATGGATTAGGTACCTTTCTGATCGCTTTATTATCACAAAAACTTTATTAATCGTTAACTCTTCAGTTTATTTTAAAATATGTTTTTAATTCACGTATTATCTTAAAGGTGTTGCAACATTGAACGATCTGGCTGATACTAAATATTTTGCAACTGTTTGTCGAAAAGCACAATTAATTGGTTGAATATTAAAAACGAATTGGAACAGATACAGAAACAAATATTTTAGATGTTTGAAATTATCCTTCAAGATTTCAAATCCACAGCAGAGAAGTGGGCAAGAATGGCTTATCAAAATTACAGCATTGGATCCGACTTCGAATTTTTCGACGAAATGGAAAACGATACAATGGGATTTGATGACGATAACGGCACAAAGTTTGATAACGTAACGTACAACCGTTATGGTCGTGTGAAACTGCGGACGATTAGCATGGATATTCAGATAGCCTTTTATTCCGTGATATTTTTATTGGCTGTAGTGGGAAATATTCTAGTTATTGTAACTTTAATCCAGAATAAACGAATGCGGACGGTAACCAATGTATTTTTATTAAGTTTAGCTATAAGTGACTTGTTATTAGCTGTATTTTGTATGCCTTTTACCCTTGTGCCAGTTCTACTCAGGAATTTTATCTTCGGAGCTGTGATGTGTGTTCTAATTCGATATCTTCAAGGTATTTATTTTATCGATTCCCTTTACCTCATTTAAAGAGACAATACTTTCAGGTAGAATACAGATGTCACTCGTGTCATATTTTATATGATATCATATTCAAAGTAACCCAACACAATCTTGAAATAGCATATTCAAATTAACTCACATAATAGATAATAGTTTTTAATATCATTTTGAAAATAACTTGAAACTTTCATAGTATTTGTAATATCATTTTCAAAATAACTCCAGTAGTATTTTGTAATATTATTTTGTAATATTTTCAAAATATCCCGAAAACCGCATAATAGTTTTTTGATATTATTTTCGAAATAACTCGAGTCCCCTCTGTCGTATTTTTTTATATCATTTTCAAAAGAACTCTAAACTCACATAGTATTTTGTAATATCATTTTCAAAATAACTTGAGACTAGTATTTTGTGATATCATTTTCAAAAGAACTCGAAACTCACACAGTATTTTTATTATCGTATTATTATTCCTGTCGAATGTGGAGAGATAGGGACCCTTCCGTAGAAACTGTTAAAAACAACCCCATTGGTATAGGCGATTCGCACTATGTCCTGAATTAGAAACACAATCAAGAGAAATAATTCAATCTTAGTACCGATTAGAACGAGGACAAATTGTATGACAAGCTTTCAATGAATGAAGTGGGGTTTAACATCCGACTGGGCTGATAAAGACGCCATAGAATGTGCTATAGTGAACATATTGCTCAAACAGAGACTCTACGGTCTACGCTTATATCGAATTTCAACTGTCAAGGGTTTTCTTACATGCACGCCAATGTGTACACGGGGCGTCGGTTGTCCTTCCTATCCGAACGACTATATGTTGTCCCTTGTCAGGCCCTACATCCTGAAGCTCTTTTAAGGAGGAACCACCGCCGAAAATTCCGACGAACTTGCTTGGTCAACCAAGGTATCGAACACGGGGCTAGCATTGAATGATGTTCGAATTCCTAAAATAGCTAAATTATCGAAAATAAAATCAAAGCATTGATCCCCTGTAGTAAATGATTTTGCACGAGAGTCCGCTGAACCCCGTGAGAATCCCCCTGTGTATGACGTGTAATGTGTTTTAAAAGGTCTACAACCCGACAATGATGGACTGGTGGATTTGTTTCAAATTTGCTTTAATCTAATTTGAACATTGTAGCGAATTCACAAAATATTGCCAAAAAAATGTTATTTCTTTTTAGACAATTTCCCAAATCATTTAAATAGCATTTGTTAAAGAGCTTAGAATAAACAGGGTGCCATTCAATACAGAATGAAATTACCGCTGAGCGATGTGGTGGTTGTGGGGCGGGATATGTTAACGTGTGTACTCATAGATCATAAGGTCTTTGGTTGTGTCGAGTGGTGTGGTATGGTTTCGATTACTCGATTGTACGTGACAATTCGTAGGGCCTAACCTCGTGGGTTTCTCCGGGTCCTTTGGATTCCTCCCACAACTAAATACCTCTACTCGCAAGCGAAATAATGAAATAAATTTGAAGCATATGGTAGTCCCGAAATGACCTAGTTTGTGTCGAGTGGACGATAAACTCTCTCTCTCTCTCTCTCGCCTTCAAGCAATGCTACAATTATAAAAAAAAAGCAGCAATTAATTAAAATCATCAATCATAACGTTAAGCTGCTCCTTGGCATTTATTAATTAGGCTAGAAATATAGAAATACACAGGTCACAATTCTATGAATACAATTACATTTTATTTCTGAGCTATATTTTAACTAGTCTTCTCTAATCTTTATCAACAATAAAGTATAAAACATTGACGGATGTTATATACATGTACAAATCACACTTTGTTAATACGCAGTTACGTTACCCGCCGCGCCGAAGATATATAAATTCAATTATGTTTCCTTCAAGGTAATTAGAGGCATGTCTCAGATTCAATAATTGGTCATCATTAACGTTTTGAGTGTGATTCCCGGTGATTTATCAGGCAATGATAAAATGTGAAATGTGATTGGACATTACAAGACGCAAAATGGACCCCTGAATGGACCGACCATTTCGAAGATTGACATGTAATTAGCAATTTTTCGACTCGCTCCGCACAGCTTGTTGTCTAATATACATATAAACATACAACACTTCCTGGTCAAGTATCAAACAAGTTTTATTGTCTTTTACATGGAATTGTGAGACAAAAGAAACATGTTTTTTCGTACTACATGTACTGAAAAAAAAATTATAAAACCTCACGCAGAAGGTAGCATCAGAATAATATCATTTATTATATAAAACATAAAAATCATCCTTTATATATTCAAGTTTCAAAGAGCTAGAGTAAAAACACGGTGACTTACTCAGCTCGGTTGTGTTGATATTCTTTTGTTGGGAATATTGCTAGAAAATATAAAACGGAAATGGGAATGTCGTGAACTCCTTTCATGTAACACATTTTTTAGTCAACCTTGCTGTGATTCTGTTTTTCAGAAAACCCACTAGAAAGGTTTAGAAATTGCTTTTTCTCGCTGCCTCTGGCAGTACTTTGATTTAGACGTTTGTCTTCTTGAAAAAGCCGTTATGTGGCACTGCATGGCAAACCTAAGTTTCTAGTATTGTCGTAACTTTCTTATGCTAATGATATTGATTTGTTTTTTCGGGGGAGCTATATTTTTTGTCTCTTTTACTGCCACACTGCTTTCTGTAAAGTATAACTGCAGATTTTCATTACTTTAGGAGCTACCTTTTAATCAGATTGTTTGTAATCTAATCTATTGTTATTTTATTCAGTATGGTTAAGTTTTATTTGCCACAGATACGTATTCGAATATAAATTGAATTAACATTATTATATAACATACTCAGAAAAAACGATAAAACTGGAAACTAATATATTGCTATATTATTCAATATGGTTAAATTTTGTTTACCATAGTTACGCATTCAAATACAACTTGTATTAACACTATATACAACATTGGCAGTTTAAACCATAAATAAAAGTTAACTCTACCGTTTTTGCTGCAGCAATAGACATGTTAAATCATCACTTGCATCAGTGTACATTGAAATATTATTCCCATATTCCCACAAGCATCAAGGCGTACATAAATAGTATTCCCTTATTCTCACAATAGAAATTTGAAGAAGCATTCTTGTAAAATAAGAGAATAGTTTAAAGGAACATATAGGTCTGTCTGTAACCTTTCTTAAAACAAATATAATAGACTAACAGGGTTACGAGAAAATAGTGCGTCTGTACTTTCTGGTCAGATGTCCAATGCTCTGTTTATTTAGCGGATTCCATCTTAAATAATCTGATCTGGTATTTAATTGGCGGGACAAACTATAACATTTATCTTAAATATATATTGTATTGTTATATACATAAAGTTTATCTTTTATTTTTAGAAATCAAATTAGTAAAATTATAACAAACCGGATGTAATTATTATGGAATTAAGTACCGATATAGTAACTCATTTGAGGACTTACATACATGTTTTTTTATTTTGTTAAAGGCGCTAGATCTCTAACAATATTTTCCATACTATTTCGTCAATTTCAAGGTTAAAAAAATAGAGCAATGCACCCTTTAAATCGATTGCACCCAAGGAGTTTTATTTGACAAAATCCAAGTGAAGTAGTATAAACCCAGAATCTTACTCAACCTAAAGATTTGTATAGAAGACTGGGCTAAAGAAATACCGAGAACGCCGTGCTAATTAAAGGAGCTAAATCTCTAACTCAATATTTTCATATTTAAAATTAAAAACACGAATTAGAATTCAATATTCGGCTCTTTTAATCAATATTGATATTGTTGTCTTGTGGTGAAAATATTAATAATATTTAAAACACAGTGAACATATTATAATCAGTACACGAGTCGTATATTTTGTAGATTCGGGCGCCATTTTGTAATGATTGAATAAATCATACCGACAAGACAATATGGAAGTAATCAGTAAAGGCTGATTCACAGACATGTAGAATGGACTTAGCAGGCATAAACGACTGCCGTTCTGTGGTTTCGGGCGCCATTTTGTAATGAATAAATAAATCATATCCGACAAGACAATATGGAAGTAGTTAGTAAAGGCTGATTCACAAACAACAAAATAGTAATTCTAAAAAAATGTGTAGAATGGAATTCGCAGGCGAAAACGACTGCTGTTCAATTTGAACTGTTCGCGTATTTCACCGAATATATAACTGATTTCTTTCAAATTTTGAATATAAATCACTTTACATACATTCATATATTGCATTAATACAGAAGAACTTTCGTCTATTTCATGTTTTAAAAAAGAGCCATACACCCTAGCATATAATCCTTTGGGTGTGTAGTTATGTAAAGATCTTAAAAGTGTATTAAACTACTACAATGTAATTCGGGTCGTAGAATCTATCTTATATATGGCGGTCTATTTTTGCATATAAAATAACTGGGAGACTTCTGGACACTCAGGAAACCGTTTTAATCTAAACTGGTATTAATATATACAATACAATAATACAGTTTAACAAGGCGGAACTTTGGCTTAATGTGCTTAGTCTGGTGAGAATAGTCCAGACAATATTTCTGTACAATCTGTCTATCGCAAAGTCAAGCATACATTTATATTCTGACCTTACATTACTTTATTCTGAGCGAAGTTATAACAGTTCGAACAAGTAGCGTAGATTGTTTATTGTCGCAGTATCGGTACTTTACAATCGAAACTATGTCTCGATTATCCATCGTATCGTTAAATATTTAAATCTTGAAGATGTTCCCATCCATTACGATAGCTAGAGAGTTGATTATGGGCTTGCCATGATTTCGTTTATATGACATTTGAGGCCAAAGGAAAGTCTTGTAATAGGCAGAATTAACTCTTACATAATGCATATTCAATAAATGATAATTCTGATTGTACTAAACAATTGAGTCGAATAACAATTTACAGTAATTTAAGTGACTTGTTACATCTAGTAAATAACTCTATAAATATAAAGAGGAAGAAGTTTGTTTGTGTGTGTGTTCACTT